GTTTTTAAAGCTGTCCTTAACTTTACCACCAATACCTACCTTTTTTTTTTTCATAATTGCTCCTGTACATACCTTTTTAATCCCAAAGCTATGTCAAGGTGATTTAATAAATTACAAAAACTTTCTACAGATCTGGCAGAAGAAAAGAAAAAGCCTGATTTTTCAGTGGGGCTTAGCAATATATGAGCACATGACTTTTCTTTATTACCCTGATCTTATAACCTCAGTAGTACATGGAAGGACAGATTTATTATGTGCCAGGGTTTACTTCTAACTTACAGTAACAATGATCATTTAGAATAGGACATTCAGATAGTAACACCTGCATCAACTGCATGGATCTATTGGATTTGAAAATAAATCAGATGGGATTTTTGGGGGAATATGATTATAATATTTAACATTTTCTTGTATTCTTGTTTCTACTTGCTTTATTCACCATTTCCCATTATACTATTTTAAAGCTTTCTGGGCAAAACATTCCAGAGAAAAAATTCCTTTACAGTTTTTAAATATAATGCCCATCCCTATCCTCAACTTGTGGAAAAACTTAACATGAACATAGAACAATGGTCTTTACAAGCTGAGAGATAATCCAAAGTTATAATGTCAAGCAGTTCATGTGTGGGGTCATTACGGCAAACTTAATTTATTGTATATCACAAACTGAGACCAAGGTAATGCTACATCTAAGTGTTAACCAACCATGAAGTGGAAAGAGAAACTTTTTAGTTCACAAGTTACCCTATTACCCTAAATTTTCCAAAACCCCACTCAAATACCACTTGAGTTTAACAGTAAGTAAAAGATTAGTAAAATAAGCTTTGCAAAATATTTACAGTCAAAACTGAACTCAAATGCACAATATATTTGTATCCCCCAAGCTACTAGAATGATGTTGGCTTTAACAAGATAGTTTGGAAGTAAAGGAACTTGTAAGAAAAAGACAGTGATTCCCATCGAATCAATTTCTCTTAAGTTTTGAGTGCTGGAGAACAGTGTGATGAAAATGCTAATGTAAAAACAATGCATAAGGGCTTAGTCAGATGGTGTAGACTTTCTTTGCATAGGTCTGACTGGCCTTAAATCATGTCATGCTGGCCCAGGCACACTGACTGTGAAACCTCAGGGCAGTGCTGCAGATCTAAACAACCAGCTGGCTCAGAATCTGCTTGAACATCCTAAGTATCTCTAGGTAGCAATTCCATTATACGCATGTCCTACAGCACCCAGGCATTCAACGTTGGACAACACAAGGCCACTTAAACAGAATCAGAAGGTAGATTTACAATGCTTGAGAAGTAAGTGGCTGAAATTCTAGTACTGTGTTTATTAAATCAGACTCTTTTATAATTATTTAACTATTAATATTAACCACATCACAAGCTTTGGCCAATATCCATAGCAAAATTCAGAAGTCTTTATTATTATTTTTTTTTTGAGATAGTGTCTTACTTTGTCACCCTCAGCAAAATGCTATGACATCATAGCTCACAAACCTCAAACTCTGAGGCTCAAGTGACCCTTTTGCCTCAACCTCTGAAGTAGCTGAGACTATACTCACCCACCACCATGCCCCACTAGTTTTATTTATTTTTATTTTACTTATTTTTTGAGACAGAGTCTCACTACGTTGCTCTTGGTAGAGTGCTGTGCCATCACAGCTCACAGCAACCTCAAACTCTTGGGCTTAAGTGATTCTCTTGCCTCAGCTGGGACTACAAGTGTCTGCCACAATGCCTGGCTATTTTTTTGTTGTAGTTGTCATTGTTGTTTAGCAGGCCTGGGCCGGGTTCGAACCTGCCAGTCCTGGTGTATGTGGCTTGCACCCTAACCATGAGCTACAGGAACTGAACCTCCCACCCCGCTAGTTTTAGAGATGGGGTTTCACTCTTGGTCAGGGTGGTCTCAAACTCCTGAGCTCAAGCAAATCACCTGCCTGGGCCTCCCAGAATGCCAGGATTCCAGGCAGGAGCCACCGTACCTGGCCCAGAAGTTTTAAAAAGCAAATAAAAAAACACTTTACATTTGAGTGGTCTCGTGTACATTGAGATTTAGCTGATAATCCGACTGTGTAAATGTTGGCCTTTATACTTTCACATCCTTGCTCACTAAACAAATACCAATATACTATTTTATCAAATTCTTCCAAACTAGTTTTCATCTTTCAAAATGAAGATTCAAAGATATTTCTTAATTTTACTAAGCATTCTCTCAATCATCAGTCTTAAAAAAAAAAAAAATGTGTGCTTCCAAACACAAATTCCTCTGTTCTCTACCTCCTTGGACTCCCATTCATCCTAAGTTATTTCTTTTTACATCCAAAGCTGACTGATTGGGCTTGTAAATTATATTTGCCTTACAGACAATTATAGAATTGGAGACAGGAACAGCTGTTTCCCTGCAGTGACCTGGACCCACCGCCTTTCACCTCACTTGCTTCTTCTAACACCTCAAACACTAGATCAACACACTTCATTTTCCTGCCTCTTCTCCAGTAAGGTCGAAGTACAGGAAACCAAATTAGAATCTTCCCCTCTCTCATCAATAACACCACCAGGAAATTAGATTTAAAGTGTTCAGTTTGTCCTTGTGTTCCTTGGAAGAACTCCCAGTCTTTAAATTAAAATTATAGCTGCTGACTGAAAATTACTCAGAAAGATTAGTATGTTTTCAAAGTAATTTTGTCAGACATGTTGACTATTTACAAAATTCTTAAGTTTAAGCAAAGACAATTTCTATTTACACCTGTAAGAAAAATAATTTTGAGGTCTAATGGAAAGCTCAACCTCATTTCAACTCAGTAAGACATAACGGGAGTGCCCTGTGATGACCAAACACTCGGGCAATGTGGAGTGACCACCGTCACAGCCAGAACACAATCACATGCTTCAGAGTCAGAGGCTCGCTCCTCAAAGCAAGCCAGATTTTCTGGGCAGAAGATGGGCACAGGATGCTGGTAGTGTCCATCAACACCCAGATGTTATGTGAGAAAGAAAGGGTGACATTTGTCGCCATAAAGGTTTTAGAAACTAAATCTGTAATTTATCCTTAAATTTAAGAAAAACAGAGAAAAAGATACAATGCTATGGTACATTAAAAAGAGCAAATGAACTAATGTAAGATCTGGCTTATAATAGATACTTCTGACCTTGGGCAAGCCCATCTACTCTTCTGGTACCCATACCTGTGAAATGAGACCAGGGCTTGCTGGTACCCACATGCCTTCCTGTTCTGAGCTAACTCAATAATCTCTAAATGTCTTTCAGGTGTCAAGTATTTTAGATTTAAAGATGTATACAGGGGGACCTATCTTACTCCATTTTTGTATCTTAATGTAAATCACATACTTAGTTCTTAATAGTTGTCTAAATATGGTGATAGGTTGATGCTTAAAAAAAATCCTTAGATAGGCTTTGATGAGAGACCTCACACATTTAGAAATAACTAAGGTTAAATCAGTTCATGGGATGCCAATCAAGACAGAAAATGTGCTTTGTACAAGTTCCATAATGTAAGTTGATACTATTAAAAAGAAACTTCTTGTTATTCAAAAAAACTTAAATTATTAAGGTAGGATAGTTTAGTGATTAAAGAATTTAGGGGCCACTTCAAATTTAGGAGAAATTCCCCAATACACAAATATCTAAGCTGAAAACCACTTATAAACTATTATCTTCAATTTTACTGAAAATAATTGTGTTACTCCTAAGATGTCAATCTTGATGATGATGCAGGTGACCAGTGTTGATTTCCACTATTTGTGTAAAAGTAAATACACTACAAAGTATCAGTAACTAGCATGATCATTTTTTTTAAAAGCTGTGGTAAATAAATCTAGACATGTTTTATTATAAAGACAAATTTTTCAACAGGCTCCTCTGAGCAATTCAAGGTTACCATATATTGCGCACAGAAATAAAGGCAGTCTTAACACTAGCTACAAAGTATGTTTCCATTGCTGTGAGCTGTGACACCACAGCACTCTACTGAGGGCAACGAAGTGAGACTCTGTCTCTTAAAAAATAAAAATAAAAATAAAAATATATTGTATATTTACCTTTTCCCAGTGGCTCCCTACAAAGCAAAGTTAAAAAATCCATGAATAAATGACTAAAAGATGATAAAGGAACACTGTTTGAGAAGTGGGATGTGGCAACACGAGCAAGGTAAATGTGGGGAGGTAAAACTTCTCAACTTTTCCCTCCAGGCTTTTCTATTGCACCATAAATAGGCCTTATCTCCATGCTTGCCCTTTAGGGACTCCATTCTGAACACAGAGTTATTTCAGGAATCTCTGTTGATTAGATAAATGTGTGACAGGAACAATTCTGAGGCACATTTCTCTTTAAAAACTTCTTTTAACAGTCTGTTTAATACATTTTTAAGTGTTCATGTTTGGACAAGAGAAACCACTTTTTCACAGAACATATTCTTGAAATGGTTGTTGAACTTGGCTGTAGTTCTTAAAAGGCATTTTGTAGCATCCTACACTTTGGATTCCATAACTCAGTTTAATCTTTGGACACCCACTTGTGCCAGGGCCAGTGAAACAGAAAATTCTATTTATCAAAAGGAGTTTCCTGTTTAAAACGAACACCTTCTTTGATGTTTATTAAAAGTTATCTCTGTCCCATACAAACTGCTATATTAGGCATTTACTCAAACTAGCAGTAAACAAACTCTAGTATCATTCTGATTTTAAAACTTCAATATTTTTGATATGTGAAAAAGTTCCAAAGAGCCTGACCTTGCGATGTGAGTGCTCTGTATACCACAGTAGTGGCTTCCAGGGGAGCCAGGAGCAGCTGTCATGTTCCCCAACAGAACAGGGGTGTAACATTCTTTGGCTCACCACGTTTATTTAATGCCGCACTCTTAACTCTCAGGGCATGCTGTCTGTTTAAAGCTTTGCTGTGCAACTTTTGCTATACAGTTTAATTTTTTTTAATGCACTTTAATCTCTTAACAATAGACAAATAAAAACACACTGTTTTATACTATTTGGGTCAAATTAATTTTATTATGCTCCAAGATGAATTGCCACCAGTGCAACATCCTATTCACTATACATTTCAAAAAAAAATTCACATACTAAACAAAATTTCAGTTGTTTGAAAATGAAATGATTGAAAGTCTTTATGAATTTCATACATACAGTATGTGGCTAGCTGAAATTGTCTATCAAGTAGCATTTAGATATAAAAAGCTTCATGCTAGTTTGTTAAACGCGAAGCCTACCAGACAATCATTTAGCTGGAGCATATGCGGGAGGCTTCCAGACAATGCACAGGTAAGTGCTGCCCACGGTGGAAGATGGTGGAGGACTGATACATGCGATCTTTTATCTTACTTAGTAAAGTGGATTCAGTCTTCCTGCCTGGACTGAACTCCACAGCTGCTGTGTTTCAACAAATAATAATTTAGACTTTGCATAACAACAACAAAAAGTATTTTTCCTTTAAGAAAAAACAATAAATGCAATAATTACCTTTGGCAATTATGTACTCATCCTACACGTTTAAAATTGTTCAAAGAATTTATATTCTCTTCTCAGAGAGTAGCAGATAAATATTTATATACCAAAGTTAGCTGGAAAATCCTGAATTCCTTGGCCAAAAGTTAAGAGAAATCTTAAATTGGCATTACCTTGGAGACATCTCTAGGAAATTTAAATATTTTTTACAATGTCAAAAGGAAAATGCTAAAAATTATTTAAAATAATTATAATGTTCCATTTATCATTTTCACCAATTCCTAATTTTATTGGTTAATAGCTGTTCAGCCTCATCCACACCAGACGCACCAAGCCACAGTAGAAATGATAGTAAGCAGAAAAAGGTTTCTAGCAGCAGAGGGCACTGTTTTGCAAGAAACAAAAAGTCTAGAATCTTTCTCAGGTGCTTAAATTACTCTTGCAAGGAAGGTAACATTCTTTGAATAACTTAACTATTTTACTGCACCACTTACTGCTTTCAGCAACAAAACCTTTTAAATTATTTCTTATGATAACTAGATGTATGATCACTAGAGATTATGTGATAATTGGTTAAAATTCAAGCCACATCTTGCAGGTCCAGCCTGTCAAGATCATGCCAATACTAGATTTTGGTCGGTACAATTCTAGATAGCATAATTTTTAGTTGGATACTGTAACTAGAGTAATGAAATACATCTGGAACTACATTCTGCATATGACTCAATGTGAGAAAAATATGTCTGTATTTAAATCAGATAATTTTCTACCTAAAGTTTAAAGTAGGTAGGTGTGATAATTAGCACTGTAAATATGAAACAACCACCTTTAAGCAGATTAGTGTTTGGTAGCAAGGCAAGGAAACCCTAATCTTACCACATTGTTTAGTATGAATAGCAAATGTGCAGGTTGTCAAGTTTTATCTTAAAAAAATCTATCATTCAGTTATGCACTCTAAGGAAGTTTGACATTGGGACCACCAATCTTCTAAGAAACATGTAACCAAAATGTGATATTCGATAAAAACCTTGAGAAATCATCAAAATAAAAACTATGGCATCTTAGGTTCACCATTACAGTGCATTTCTTTGCCAACTAGATTAACCTCAAGCCATACAAACTGTAAAATAAAAATACTTAAATTCTACACTACTTTAGTATGTTCTGATTTATATAGCATTTTTAACCAAATGTTGGCATAACTTTAATGTATACTCCTTTCAGTTCATTTAGAATGAAGCTACTTCTCAACCCCACTCAAATGCCAACTTAAATAATTTTTCTGTTTCAGAGTATTGAAAAATATTTTTAAAATTTTTGTCAAAAAGAGCCTGCCACATTTGCTATAGCATAAACATAACCTCAGTCAAGAACAGGCATTAGGGTTCCTTATGAGTCAGCCTGCAAAACCACTGCTGCACCCATAACAGGCAATATTGCTTGAGAGGTGTGTTACACGGATTTTCTCCACTAGTATCTCTGTAGTGATTTTATGTAAGCATACTGCTGAATTTGACAAACTGCCTCAGTGTAGTGATGTCTAGAGAACTGTGCAATCTATCAGCTTCAACAATCATGGGTAGCATTGTACTCAACATGAAGGGGCTAAAGAAACTAAGGTTTGCATCACTTAAAAAAGAATGTAGTGCTATCCTAGATTTTTATAAGAAAATTCAGGTACAGAAAAAGTAGGGTATGAAAATAGTGTTTTCCTTCTGGCATTATAACTAAATTACATTAAGGTTTTTGTCAGTCTCACATATAATATTTAAACTCCCTTGTTGATGGAATGAAAAATATTCACAAGTCAAGTGAGCATCGTGGCATAAACTTGCACACAATAATAGGGAGTAGCTTTGTAGAGGATTATGACAAACCTTTACAGATTAAATGAGGTATTGCACAGATTAATAAAAAAAAGCAAAAAAGGCAACAAAAATATACAGCAAATTGGTAGAACATTTACATGATAATTTTACAGAATCCATAGACAGAAAGTAGTGTTTAGTATTTCACCTTAAAAATATATATATATATAATATATAGATCAGTCTTCCCATTCATCATCGTCCTCAAAATCTTCATCATCATCTTCATCTTCATCTTCATCTAGGAGAAAATCGAGACAATTAAAATATATGCATAAATAAAAGGATATTACATAATTCTTGGATGAGTTACCCTATTAACTCCTGAAAGACAAACGAGAATTCTGGTTACTAAATAGTTTAAAATAAATCTTGTAACATACACATAAAGAACTATATACAGGGTGTTGTCCATAAACTTCCTGTGCAATCATGTATGTGTGTCTGAAATTATACACAAAGCATTACTGAAACCAATCCATGGCGATGCTAGTGCTTAATACATGGTAAAGTGAATACAACACTGAAGTTGCAAATCTGGGACCGTCCCTTCTATGACAGTGCTGAAATTAAATTAAAATCAATCATATTGTGAAGTACGTTCAATCTATCTGGGAACTGGACTCTCTCATCTATCTGAAGAATACTGGATGAAATAAAAATGCTGTAATCTCTAATTTAAAGACTGCTCTAGAAAGTTTGCATTGGGGCTTTGATCGTTCAAAATAAAGTGAAGATTAAAACAGAGGTCAACAATTTGGAATCTCAAGCCTTAGTACGTGTATCTATCAGAGTTCAACCTGCACAGGTGTTAATGTGTAAGATCACATTTAGGTCATCCTTCCTGAACTTCAGACCTGCCTATCATGAATCCAACTACCTTCCTTTTCTTTTTTTTTTCCAACTACCTTCTTGTACATTTAAGTGGATTCTCAAATACAAAACTTCTGACGTTTTATCTCCTTCCTCAATTTTGTTCTCTCCTTCCACCTTAGTCTGCTCCATCTTAATAAAAGACATTCTTTTAGGTAATAGGCCAAAAACCTAGAAATTATAACTGCTTCCTCTGTCTTCATCATCCAGGCATCAAGTCTGCTCCTTCTCACCACTTCTACTGCTATTCTTCATACCGCCATCATACTCTGCTTGGATTATTACTACTCTATAGCCTATCTATCTCCTCACAACAAATGGAATGATATTACTTTAAGCTTAAAAATATCATGTTGCTCCCTTTCTTAAGGCTCTCCTGTGGCTGACTGCTGCTATTTGAATAAAATCTGATGTTACTCACTCTACAAGACCCCAGGTGATTTGCCTTGCTACTGTCTCTCCTCCTCTCCCAAGCTTTTCTCAAAATACCCTCTCCTTCAATTCACTATTTCCAGTAGGATGGACTCTTTTTTGTCCCTCAAACTTACCAAGCTTATTCCTGCGTCAGAGCCTTTACAGCAGCTATTTCTTCTGCCTGGCTGAGTCTTTTCATCTTTAGGTGTCACTTAAAACCCACCTCCTCTTCTTTCCTGACCACGCTATAGGTAATGTATAGCTTTTCCCCACAATCAGTAATTGTGTATCCCATTTTATTTTCCCTGTAACACTCACCACTATCCTAAATTCTTCTATTTTATTTGTAGTTCTATATACAGTCTTCACAAGAGAACATAAGCTCCATGACAGCAAGGACTCTGCCTGTGTCATTTATCATCATGTCCTTAACACCAGAGCAGTGCTGCACAGAAGCCGTTCAGTAAGTAGTAAGTACGTGCTGAATGCATAAATATTAGATGTCAACAAAGTCTACAAGCAGAAGTCTACACTGTCACAACTTTTCAGAATTACTAGCCTCTTAAATACATGTAGTACTTGATAAAATCCATAAAGGCCAAGTTTGCAGTGAAACAGTGGCCAAGCAATTGCACTTGACAATGAGCAAGAGCCTGTAAGAGCTGAGTACCTGACATGTGTGGGCTAGATGCTCATCTTCCCCATATAAAATAGACTTTTTGAGCACTAGTGTTAGACCTTGAAAATTAACAAAAGCCAGACTAGATACAAAGATATCTTGCTTTGGCTCCAAACTATTACTTTTACAACAATAATAGTTACTTTTATTTATTTAAGTCTGGTGGTCAGCTCTAAATTTTTATAGAATTTATTTGGAAAGGAGTTCAATTGACTTTGTGTTAACTTTTGTGTTTACTAGTAAGGGAAGTAATTTGCAACCCAAGGTTTTATTAGACATGCTTCACAAAATTCACCTGGATGAAAAGCATCATGTATACCCAACTGTACTGGCATTTACAGAATGAGAAAAGACAGGAATTTATCAGCATCCATGGTGGACAGAGTAGCTAATAATTTCATCACCAGGTACCAGTATAAGAACAACAGTTAAATGGGCCCAGAAATGAGTAAAACATATGCTATGCGTTTATTACATCATCATGCCTACTATGTAATGTTACTTACATCTTGAAGAAAACTTACTATAGGGAAGTATTTAGCAGGACCCACAGACATCAAAACACAGTAAGCGCTTCCTCATGACCATGTTATTTCACAGAAACCTTACATTTCCCTTATCTAGGCAGAATGAGAGTCTTTTATCTCTGACATTAGTAGCTATCAAGATTCTTCTTGAGCATTTTCCATATACAAAGTTATCGTTTTAATTTTCTTCTCCTATGCAGCCTAAATTTCATGGTGGTTAGTCACCTGAGTTTACTCTTGACAGTTTTAAATTCTAATTCTTAATTCTTGCCATCTCAAGCTTTTGCACAAGGCTCAATTCAATAATGTGCTCCATGCAGTCACTGTATTCATTCAGTGATCCATTATTCCTGCCTTCCAGTGTCTCGAGTAATATGGCGGCCGATGTTCAAATAGATAAGCTGAGGCTCAGTAGTGATGTCAAATTATTGCTGCATGTTATCTAATATCTACCTGGGGTAAAGGGGCAGTGAGAAAAGTCTATAAACAATTATCAATTTAAGCCATCATACTTCAGTACTGTCAATATCAATTGCTATGTTGTCAAAGCTTGTCTAACTTTTTAGTATGGAACAGGCCAGAAAATTATATATTTAAGGGTTAAATGTGTCCATTTGCTGATGAGAATAATGTAAATTAGCAGATAAATGTTTTCTAAATAAACATTTAGAGTAGTAAAACAAATGTAGAAAAACAAAGGCCCCTTTTGACTGTTTTTAAAGAAAAGGTGTTAAAACTACAATTGACAGGTTGTTCAGCGACCAATTCTAGTGATGGGCAGGAACCTTAACTAATACTAAGCCATAAATGAAATAGAGTAGGGGTCTTAATAGTTACAATCTCTATTTCTACCCTTCCAATTAAAGCACAATTCCCTGTCCTCATCTTGGATATATCAGAAGCATTTTACTTAGATGATCACCCTGTTTTCCTTCAAACATTTCTTCATCTGGCTTTTAGATACCACCCTCTCCAGCCTTCAGATCTTATTAAACCTTCTCTTTTCTATCTATACCCACTTCTTTGCTGATCCTGTCCAGTAACCCAACTTCAAATACCATGTAATCTATGGCTATCTATTAATATGCAAATTTATACTAACAGTCCAAACCTTTCCTGTGAATTCCAGACTCATAACCAAATAGCCTACTAAACATCTACATGTACATCTGAATTAACAGGCATCTCAAATTTAATTATGTACTAAATAAAACTCCTACTTTTTCCTCTCAAACTTCCTTCCAAGACTTTCCCCTTCCTATTAAGAAAATTCCACCCTTCCAGTAGCTCACATAAAAAATCTTAGAGCCATCTTTACCCTTCTCTTTCTTTCAAACTTTACTTCTAATTCATCACCAAACCTAGTCCCCATTCAAAATGTAACGAATATCTAACCATTTCTCATAGGTGCTACAACCCGGTTCAAACCTCCATCACCTCTTACTGTCATTAATGACTTGGGTCATTAATGTTCCTCTGCTAAAGACTCTGTCATCGCATTCCAAACAAAAGCTAATATACTTTTGGTGGTCTCCAAGCCTTTATTCTTGGCCCCCTACTTCCATTCAGAATTTACTCCTACTACTTTCCCCCTACCCCCCAAACCCTGCTCAAGCCATAATGACCTTGTTTCTCAACCTCATTATGGACTTCACATTGACTGTTCTGTCTATCTCACACTTTCCCCAGTTTTAGGTCTTTACTCAAATGTCACTTCAGTTAGGTTTCATCATCCCATTTCAAAATGAACCTCTCCCCCATAGCATGTCTAACTCTCCATCTTGTTTGTCAGCTAAAAATTTATCATCCTCAGTATATGTCACCATTTAACACACTATGTATTTTTCTAATTTGTTTATTGCTTGTCTCTCTCATTAGAATATATTCCCCATGAAGGCAGAGACTGTTCTTGTTAAAATTTTATTATTGTTTCACATAAATATTTATGAAATGAAGTAGCCTGGTCCTTCTCTGCAGTGTAGTATAGAAACAAATAAGTCTATAACAAATATTGCCCAAGTATCTTAGCTAACAACGTCCCTACAGAGAAACAAAAAAAAGAAAAAAGGAAAGCAACATTTATTGAGAGTTTACTATGTGATAGGAAATCCACTGGTTACTTATACACAATTTTTATTTAATTCTCACATTCATCACATGACTTGGGAACTCTTTCCATATAACAAAAAACTGAGGTTCAAAGAGATTAAATCATAGATCTAATAAGAACAAAAATCCAATCAGCACAATCCATATTCTTGTTCTGTGGCTCATGCCTAAAATCCTAGCACACTCTTAGAGGCCCAAGACAGGAGGATCACTTTAGCTCAGGTGTTCAAGGTCAGCCTGAACAACAGCAAGACATCATCTCTACTAAAAAGGAAAAAAGAAAAAGCAATATGCGGGTGGCACCTGTAGCTCAAGGAGTAAGGCACCCACCCCATATGCTGGAGATGGTGGGTTCAAACCCAGCCCTGGCCAAAAAACCACACACACACAAAAAAAAAGCAATATGCATATATAAGGTAGTATGTGGATGTTTAATAATAAAATCAGAATAGGTCTCAGAATAAGTGCTGGTTTATTCACATAAACCTTTTAGGAAATGACAAAGAGGTTTTTTAAAAGTTAGTATTCTACGGTAAACTCTAGAAACAGTGGAAATTATCTAAATTCTTAGTCCTAACTTTTACAGATCAGAAAAGCCTCCTAAATTTCTTATGTCTTAGGAATGTCATAGGGATAAAATGCAAAGAACTCAAGCCTTGTTTAGAGGTTGTTAGTTAGGGATTCTATTAGTATTTCTTGCTAAAGGAAGCAAAACTCTCATTTTTCTAAAATTGTTCTTCCAATTTATGGTTACGATTGTGGTGTGTGGACATCCATTAAGCTTTACATAGACCAGTCACAGAGGTAACAACTCTTTTCCAAATACTACTTGCTCTACACACTAGAACCAGAATTAGCAAGCTATCCAATCAGTACAGAGAATGCTAGTGACAATCATAAAATACGAAGAACAGAATTACAAACATTTGAATTTATTAAACAAATAATCACATATAAATACCTGAAGAATGAATGGCTTTGCTCCTTTTCTGCATCACTTCCATTAACGCGCCCACAATTCCTGAAGTGGGGGCCGGGGTTGGTGGTGTAGACTCTTGGCCATCAGATACCTTAGAAAAGAAGTCAGCAAAGCTCAATTAAAAAAGTCCTTAGTAAAGAATCTTTGTTTTGAAAAGTCTTAAGCATTTTAGAATCACTTCTTACCTTGAAAAAAAAATTAAAAAGAAACTATCAAGCCCTGGACAGGAATTAACTAAATGAAGAAGAAATAAAGTACTGTCTTAAAACAATTATTCAAGAAAAATTTCCTCTCCTTAATCTATAAGCCACTGATACATTTCTAAGTCAATGTGTATGTTTAGGTTAATAATCTAACCCTCTCCTGAATACTTGCCCTTGCAGCTGAGTTATTTCTGTTCATTCCAGTACATAAAGCCTTAGATGATAAACTCTAAAACTACTACCAAAGGACATATTTTATAAACCTAGGGTAATATATAGATTCCTGGAGTTGTTAGGTAGAAAGCATACTTAAGATATGTAAGCGCAACTATAGAAACTTATGTTTTCCTAGAAAAATTTAGTTCTATACCTTTATATATATTTATACCTTATGATATACAATTATATATAGTAATTCAAAATGAACCTTCCTTCTCATAGTATATAACTTCGCCTTAAGCAAATCAGTTGAGAACCTTTCAAAATATATTTGCCTCACAAGGCAACTAACCATCCCTAACTCAAGTACATCCATTTGCTCCAAATCATAGTTCAGAAAACACAACAAAACAAAAACAAAGACTCTCATTAAAATCTAATGTCTCAGAATGACAGTCTTTACAAAATTATCCTTGCTTCCAACAATCATACTAAAAAAGAGAGAATACAGGAAATCTGTAGATGTTCAGAAAAAAAAATTTAGAAGGTACTGCTCTAAGTGCACTTTGAGCAAAGGGAACAGTTGTTCTTCCATACTCATTTTGTGAATTTTGTCAATGGACTTCTACTATCCATGTGAAGATATAATATTGGCATAATTAAAGATGAAACAACATAGTTGTACTAAATAATTGCCTAAGTTTTTAAATATCCATTTTTATTTATTTGAAATTCATCATCTCCCATATACAAAATTATTTTATTAAGATAAACTTTGCATTTTGCTCTTTACAACGCTTCTCCCAATACTACTTGTTCTTTCTGAACTAAAGACATTTATTTTTCTTTTTTGAGAAAATTCATAGTCCCCCAGAAAACACAAACTCATTCATTAGTATTTAGGCTTTCAGGATTATATATTAACTATTACCAGTATAGAAGTGCCACAAATGAAAAAGATAGCAGAAATAGCTTCAGAGCTTTGTGTTTCTGCAGGAGGCTCTCAGAAGTAGGGCAGCAACCAGGACACTGAGACTGCCTCTACGCAATGTGATTAATATGAAGGATAGAGTACAAAGCAAAAACCCAACACCGTCAACAAACACATTCTGAAGAACTTACTTGGACAAGGTGCTTATATAGCGCTGCACTACTATAAACACAGAGTTCAAAACAGGTGAGCACCTACATAACTGCTGCTAGCACTTTAAAGTACATCTGTGGCTTTATGCTTATCATATTCATCATAGAATAAATCAATGATTTATATAAAAACATGTAAAGAAACATAGCCAGAGAAATTTCAACCACAGAATGGTTACTTTAAAAAAAAATTAAAACTGTGGGCTCCGATCACATGGATAACATGCCAATTATGTACTGACTATATACTCTATGACAACACACTGAATGCAATCAAAAGGAAAGTGGTGGTGATGCTGCTGCTGATTTTGAGACAGCATCTTGCTCTGCTGCCCAGGCTCAAGTGCAGTGGTGCAATCACAGCTCACTGCAACCTCAAACTCCCAAACTCAAGTGATCCTCCCCATTCAGCCTCCCAAGTACAGGGGAATGTCACCACACTGGTTATTTTTATTTTTTATAGAGATAGAGTCTTGCTATGTTGCCCAGGCTGGTCTTTAACTCCTGATTTCAAGCAGTCCCCCCACATTGGCGTCCCAAAGCACTGGGATGGGAGGCCAGGAATGAGCCACTGAGCCTGGCTGGGAAAAGGGATTACCTAAGATAAAAAATGGCCTTCTCTTCTACATATAGAATGGGAATTACAAGGTATCCCAAAGTCACCCCTAAAGTCACTATATACAGAAAATGGGAGACTGTAGTTAATTTATCTTTTATTTACAAAATATGCACTACAAAATTTTATAAAATTTTACAAGGCATTCATTCTCCATGCTTTGGCCACCTCTTTGCAAAATTCTGTAATGAGTATTTTGTAAATAAAGGTACTTTTGACTATAATTTCTCATTTTCCCTATGTATAGCAACTTTAGGAGATACTTTTGTATTTTTCTCTCTAAAAGAAATTTACAGATCAGTTGATAGGTTTTTTAGGGGGGTAAGATTGAGATAGGAAGAACCGATAAGAATAACAGAAAATTTAACTTACCAGCTTTTTAAATTAGGAAAAGAGGATTCAACTTTATTCATTAAAAATAAAACATCAACTTATTTATAGCTAAATGAGAGAAAATACAAAAGCTTGTTCTGAAAAGAAAATAGAAATGAAAAAAATAAAAAGGTAGGATAGGAGTGGAGAGACAAGGGAATGAGAATGACACGGGAACTAGTAATGATTCCAAGGTAAAAGCTGATAAGTAAATGACCGTATTAAAACCTGCTCTCCACCTAAACTGTGGCCATTTTGGCATTAATACTCTCCACCAAGCACCCTTAAAGTTCTTCAACTGCTTCTGAGAAATCTTCAGTCTGAACTAAATGGGGAAGGGGAGCAAAGATGATTGCTCACAGGTTGATCTAAGTGCTATTCTGAATACATGTAAAGAAAAGATATAGATGTACTTTAAAGATCAGATACTCCTTAAATCTCTTAAATCTATGGTATGCTAAGTTTAAGTGTTTTCATTTGATTAATTGTGCTTCCTATCCATCACTTTCCTCCTACCCAAAGCTTGTGAGATTGAAAAGTTACTTTAATCCTTTATTTTCCAAAACAATTTTCAATTAAAATATCCTTTGTGGTCTTCATTTTCCTCATAGAAAAATCTCCTATCCATTACCTGATTGAAGTCATGTAGAATACATTACCCATAAAGGCTCAGAAGGAAGTAATTGTAGACAGGTTAGGCTTTAGGTAGGAGTTAGCAAAGTACAGACCATAAGCCAAATCTAGCCTGTCCTCTGGATTTGGGGGGCTTTTTTCTTTTTTAAACCTAAACGCTAAGGATGGTTTTTACAATTTCAAACAATTTTTTAAAAAATAACCAAAATAAGAGAATTTATAATATATGATATTCAATTTCAGTTTCCAAAAATAAGTTTTACAGAATGCAACCATGTCCATTCACTTAGGTATGTCTGTGGCTGCTTTTGTGATATAGCAGCAGAGCTGAGCAGAAATGACAAGAAACTATAAGGCCCATAAACCTAAAATATTTACCATCTGATCCTTTAGAAAAACGTTTGCTAACCTCTAGAAGATTAAATGATCACCTCACCCAATTCGGATAATCCTAAATTATCCGCTGTCACTGTCAGATATTCTATTAGAACTCTTTCAATTTTCTGTGTGATTTAGAATGTGGAAACTTTAAAACATGATTTAATTTTCATAAAGTTACTAGTTTGGATTTACCAAAGTGATTCCAATTGGTTTGCAGTAGGGCCAGTTTTAATTTCCCATAATTTAATACAAATTTTTCTTTAGATTGAAGTACCTTTCATTTGCAAACATACTACAAAACTGTATGAAATATTAGAAAAGGTAAAACTAATCTACGGCAATCAGATCAGTGACTGTTTCTAGAAGAACCAGGAAAAGGTATGAGGGAACATTCTGGGGTGACAGAAATGGTCTACATTTTGATATAATGGTTACACAGTTGTAGGTATTTATCAAAACTGAATTAAAAAATTATACATTTCATTGTACATAAAAATATTAACATTCCTAGGATTAAAAAGCTAAAAAGCAAAAGAAAAAAGCAAAAGAATAAACTTTTCTTATAAATTACTTTAAAATGCCATTGCGACTGATACATGATCTGAAATGAAAAGAATGGATTACTTACTGATTTTAGTTGAATACCCTGTCGTATCTGGTCTAAAAGTGCATCCCGTCCAGAGCAGGACACTGGTCGACTGTTCTGTTCCACTTTTTTTAGCTGAGCACCCTCTCTAATTTGATCTAAAAGAGCTGCTTTGCTTCCCGCAGGAGTTGGAACTTGATGGTCTCCATCGGAGGGGAGACCAGGAGGTGGTGGAGGCCCAGGTGGAGGCGGAGGCGGAGGTGGTGGAGGCGGTGCCACTGACCCTGCCACTGATAGAGGTGGAGGTGGGGGTGGAGGCCCTGAAGGTGCTGAGGAGGGAAGGGCTGGAGGCGGAGGAGGGTACATCCTATTTGGTGGTGGTGGAGGGACTCCTACACCAGGCCTAGAAGGAGGGGGTGGTGGAGGTGCAGCTGTGGGAGCCCTTGAAGGTGGTGGTGGTGGTGGAGCGCCTCTTCCTCTGGCAGGAGGAGGAGGAGGGCCTGAGCTATGTGGAGGGGGGGGAGGAGGAGGAGGAGGAGGCCCTCCCCGTGATGGTGGTGGAGGAGGTGGTGGTGCTGAAATGAAAACAGAAAAAAGAAGGCATGTTTTTTTCCCATACAATCATCATATTGAAAAGCAACTCACCTTAATAACTATGAAAAAAAAAAAAACAATACCAACCAAAAAACCCCTTATCTTTGCATTTACTTTTAAAAGTTCACTGAGCACATATGTTATCTTACAATTTTATTTGAGAATTCTCAGCTTCAGTATCACCTTCCCGTTGCTTCTTAAAAAATACTGGCTAAAACAGTAGAATTTAGTTTTGAAGAATCAGTACCACTTCTGAAAGTAAGGGGAACAAATACTTTTCTACTTGACATAATAACAATAACAAAATCATAATAAAATTAAGCATTTTGTTAATAAACATTATTTTACATTTTAATAAAAAATTAATGAATACTGCCCTTCTTTAAAGAATCAAGTGTATTTAGCTTTTTTTACAAAATCACATTCAGAAGTATATAGTATGGCATTAACACATTAGAATTTATTCACATTAATTTGAGCTAAAACTCAAACACCTTTCTTTTAAAATGTAAACCTTTGTCATCCAATTAATATTTGTACTTTTATAGTATAATGTCATATATTTCTAAGTGATAGTCTGCAATTCTAGTAATGGCATTATAGGACACTGGGTGCTCAGTTAAAATGGTCAATTACTTATTCAGGAGATACAAACTGATGATTAACTGATATTTCTTCTATAAACTGCAAAATGGAAGCTATTAATAAAAAATTACCATTGTTCTGTACTAATGATATTTGTATTCTTATTCCACTAAGTGAAAATGTCAGATATAATAAGAAATCAAATTCAAACTATAATGGGGAATATAACTAAAACCTTACTATACTAAAATTTACTTTATTTCATGATTTTACCAGCAGTATACAAAAATTCACATAGTATATTTCATTATTTCTCCACTGAAAAACAGAAAAATTAGTATTTTTAGGAGAAATCCTAGAATCTATAACAACTATCTGTATTTACTGACACAAAGTATAATAAGGTATTGATGGATATTCCTACCCAACCTATGTAATAATAAGTATCTCCCTTAATTACAACAAATAATTGGATACTCAGTAACACAATGATGCCAGAAGGGAAAAAAATTCCCTCACTTTAAAGGGGGTAAAATGGTGTCTTACAATTTCATTTGTCATAATCATAGGAATTATGCTACAAAAACTTAGCTGAAAGCAGGAGGGTGATCCTGCAGGCTGCTGCAGTAGGACGCTCCTATGATAGACTACTCTCAAGGTAAATGGAGTCTAGATGGTGTAGCTGAAATTCACTCAATTTTATAAAAGTACTCAAAAGAAGGAGACCTAAAACTAGCTAAAAACAAAGTCCTTTACTAATATATTTTGCAATCAAAGAGGAAAATAGGAATATGGCCTTTATGCTATGTATACACCCTAAACGAGATAGTGCATCAAACCCTTCAAACATATACAAAATTTCATTGTAGTAGGTTTTAGTTGTATACTTCAAATAGCAATAATATTATCTAGACTGGAATTTTTAGGATTTGGTCATCTGTTACAGAAGAGGAAAAGGACTCAGCCTATCCTATTAAATAAGGTAGTAAATAGACCATCATTTCTTGCTGTTTCACTAAGAACTTTGGATTCATAATTTTCTATATGAGTTTTACATACAAAAGACTAACATCCTTCTGAACTTGCAGTAAAGAAATTTATGGAGATAATTTGTGGTCCAGTTAACCATTTAAATAACACTAATAACTCTTTGCTCAAGAAAAGAAAGAACCTTAATTTATAGTGAATAATTCGTTAGCTACATCCTATTTGAATACAGCACAAGTTCAGTATTTCTGTTATCTTGAAGTAATAGTAAACTTCTTTGTATTTTCTCAAAGAAAATATCTATTACCAATTTTCAATTTTTACAATCATTACATTGTATCAACATTAAAAGGGAAGCATATAAAAGACATGCTATATCCCATGGTAAAAATGTGAATGAATTAAAAGAGGAGAGGAAAGGACAGAGGGAATGGTGTTAATTAGCCTTACATGCACAAAAATGTCTGTCAGGCAGACACTACCCACCACTGGGAGCAAATCTATATTCCACAGATTTTCAAAACTCTAAGTCACTACAAACACCAGAACCAGAATTACAATAGTATTTTTTTAGATTATTTTTAAAAATAAACTAAAAAGCATGAAACAGAATTTACAACAATAACTACTACCACCAAAGCTTAGTTAAAAGGAATAAAGAATGGAGCGTACAAAAAACAATGATTTTCTTGATGGCACACTATAAAGAAAGGCTGATATACTTAAAAATACATAGTCTTTCAGATCAATACTAAGAGTACAAGTAGATAACTTCCTAGATATTTATAGGAATTATAAGAAGAAATCATAAAATATTAACTTATGCTTTAAAAATGCAGTATTATAGGAATTCAAGAAACACTAAAGAACCACTCTTATATACTGTCATCAAGATAAAACAAATAAAAAAATTTTAGCCAAGACAAATTCAAATTTATGGAGAGACTATCAACCCTCTGAATAAGCACTTGCAGAACTCTGTGTGTTTATGTTTAGTTCCTTTTCCCCAACCCAAATTAATGTATAAACTTAAATTTATTTTATACGTTACTGAAAAAATGTCAAGTGTGAAAAGCAATCACTAAATATAAAAAATATAATTAGTAATGATAAAAACAACAGAGGTGCTGTGGGAAAGATTTTTTTTTTAAATCCATAGAATTTCAATACAATTACCTAAATTACAAAGTAAAAGCTTTGATTCATAAAAAAAATTAGTTTCCTTTTATTTTAGTGTTTATATACCCAAAACATTAGTTTGAGTACAGGGCAGAACCTCACTGGAAGTTAGATCTGGATACAGAATATATGCACTTTAGTTGCTCTGAAAATCAATACAACATAGCATACATAATTTGGAGCACTGGGTCAAATAATGTCTCACACAAATACCACTCCACTGTGGTAGACCTACAGAACAGATTACTATGAGTTAATGAACTTGAAACAACTGCATATAAACAAAAAGAAATATTGAACATCACAAGTCTATTACTTTTTTATAAACATGATCACATGAATTTATACCGTAAATATAAAGAGATTTGATTCAGTAGGTCTAACAAAGCCTATTTTTAAGACAAGTTCATTAATTTTTCCCATTCTAATTTACTTTTTCATATTTTTGAATATTAATTTATATTCTGTGCTCTGCTTAAAACATTTCCTAAGGAAACATTTTAATGTTTTATAATTAATTTATATTATGTGCTCTGCTTAAAACATTTCCTTAAGAAATTGTTCATTTGCCGTTCTACTATTCCTTTTTAAAAATTCTGTCTTATGAAATCATTCTTTGGCAACTAAAAGGTTCCATAGAGTTAGGTTCTTGAATATGGTAAAAATTGTTCAGACCTTATCTTTTGTTCCTGGAGAATGTTTTTTAATGCCTGTGTCTTTTTTGGTTTGTTTTAGGTAATTCAATTTAAGAAAGGCCTTGCCTAATTTAATGTTTTGAAAGCAGGCAAAATAAAAAGCACTAATAATAAAGTTTAAAAGCCAAACCTAATCAAGTTAATATGGTCAACTCTTAGTTTATTCAGGTGATAGAGAGAGAAGCAGCATAGACAGTCCAAAATTGTCAAGAGTAATTCATAAACTTATAAATTCAGAGAACTGAGCAATGGTGAACATCACCAGGAAATGTAAGGGGCAGGTGGGTGGTAGTGCTGGAGAAAAAGAAAGTCAAGGAACACAGAACAGTTCAAGACCTTCTACCACCTGCACACTAACAGTAACTGACTGGGAACTTTTAGAAACAAGGGTACTGTGCCCAAGGTGCTTTTTAAAAATGCACCGCATTTGGAAATGTAATTTTCTGCACAGTAAGGTAATTAGCATCATGCTAGTTTCAGAAGAACACTGAATAGTAATTATGGTATTATAGTTGTTTATGTATCTGTCTGCATGCTAAGATTATAAGATTTCTGAAGGTAGAAAACCTTCGTATTTAAACATCCTGAGACTAATGCTGGTATAATGATTACTGCATATGTCAGTGAATGAATCAATGAGTCAATCAATTCATCAAAGACTGAATGAACACTGGCAGTGAAAAGACACAGGTAAGCCAAATATCTAATTTTAAATGACAATTAGGATCTTCAGAAGAATGCTTTAACTGAAAGTTTTACTCTGCTATACTATTATGAGTATGCAAAAACTAGGAAGAAGAAAAGAAAAGAGTTCCAAATTCACAAGGTGGCAAAGACATGACTGTCATATTGGAAAACTGAGTTACTTTATCTGTATTTTACTGCAGTAATTGTTACGAAACAACTAACATACAAGGTGCTTTAATAAACTATCACATCTTAAAAGGCTGCAAATTGTGCTTTCAAGTACCAAAAAGAAAATTTTAGGCTTTATCCAAGAAAAAGTGTATTTCAAAATTAATAGAAAGTTAGATTTATATTCTGAAAATGTTTACATTACTAATTAAAAGGTGATTATATTTAAATTGCTATTTCTGAATTATAATAAAAACAATTTTAGTAGTGGTTTCTAGAATTCATTAAGTAAAATTTAGGCAACCATAACTCTTTATTCTAAAATAGAATATCTGAAAGATTTTGCATGAATTTTCACAAATTTAATAAAAAAATTTTAATAATAAATGAAAGCTTGTCAAGTGTTTTAGTTATACCAAAATAACACTAAGATATGGTATGATGGGTGACATAACTTGTCCATAAATTCAAATATTCTGCTCAAAAAAAGGTTCACATGAGTATGTCTTCCATTAAACTGATCTCAAAAGATTCAAGCAAAAAAATTGGTAAAAATGCTTAAATAGAAATAAGTTACCTTGCCTTCGTAGTTCATTTTTAATAGCTTCAACACCTCCTGTTTTTTCAATAAAGTCATATATAGCTTTTGATGTTTCCTTGTCTTTAAGTTGTGCCTCTGAGATTCCACACATATCAAAAAGATTCTTCAACTCTGGATCCAAATTATTCAGCTACAACAGATAAAATAATTGCTAATCATAAAATCTATCCCAATTAAAAAAAAGCATGATAAAATTTAATTCACATCTGTATCCTTATGAAACTATTTTAAGTTTATAAACTTCTAACATGGCTATATATTTATATGCTTTTTTGTTTTTTAAAAGACAGAGTCTCACTTTGTCGCCCTTGATAAAGTGCTCTGATTATCATAGCTCACAGCAACCTTATACTTTTGGGTTCAAGCGATTCTTTTGCCTCAGCCTCCCAAGTAGCTGGGACTTCAGGGCCATAATGCCAGGCTGTTTTTAGAGCTGGGGTGTTGCTCAGGATGGTCTCGAACCTTTGAGCTCAGCAATCTACCTGCCTCCACCCCCGTTTTCCAGAATGCTAGGATTACGGCTAGAGACACTGCACCTGACCCTATTTATATGCTATTAAATTTTCTTATTTTTTAAAAAAACTGAACAGGGAAGAAACAAGAATAGGTTTTCTAATGGTGAGGAGACCAGCATTCTAGTCCTGGCTCTGCCTTTATTAACGGAATCTTAACATTTTTACATAATCTCTGAATATTCAGAAATGATTACAATACTTTCCAGCAGTGAGGAGACCAGGATTCTAGTCCTGGCTCTGCCTCTATTAACGGAATCTTAACATTTTTACATAATCTTTGAATATTCAGAAATAATTTCAATACTTTCCAGTAATTTGTTAAATATTCTCCTGAAATTATTACTCAGCGGAAATGTCTTGGCTTTCAAAGCACAAGAATGTTACTTACACAGTACACATATATAAAACCAAGGAATACTAAAAATTTGTCTTTAGAGACTTAGCCATGAATCCTATGGTTAGAATCCTATGGTTTCAAACCTCAGTGGCATATATAGCTAAAACACAAATACATTCATATAGACACCAGAATCCACAAAAATGAATAAAGATAAAAATCTAAATATAGGCCGAAACATTACCACATATTTAGAGGAATAACATACATGGTGTGAAAATACACTTACATCAAAGCCTGTGTTTGGATCCCAACCAACATGACCAATGTGCCTAAAGGAGAAAATAGAAAAATACAGAAAAATAAAATGCATATAAGGCACTAAAACCATAATATATATGAAATCAAATAAACATTTGGCTTTGAATTTTTAACTTGAGTAGTCTTCATAGCCATAACCATACTCTGGGAAAAACTATGTATGAGCAGTGAGGAGACCAGGATTCTAGTCCTGGCTCTGCCTCTATTAACAGAATCTTAACATTTTTACATAATCTTTCTAAACATCTATTTCTTTACATGTAAAACTAGCATGTGAGAATTAAGAATTGTGTATGTGAGAAGACAGGAGTTTATAATGAACTATGCAAATAAATGTTTGAAATATGTCACATAAGTATCAAAGGTTTTACTGCCTCTAGGAAATTTCTAAATACTATTTATAGAGCAAAGTGAGAAATCATTTTTTGTCCAGCAATTATTTAAAGAAGTAACTTTAAATTTTCTCTTATGATAAGACAGAAAAGTAAACTGTAAGATTCAAAGAACTACTGAGCAATTGCTTTAAAAAAGCTACAATTAATCCATAGTTAAAAACGTACGCAAGTGATGAATGCAAGTATCCCCCCAAAAGAAAACAAAAACTTTCTAACAAGTTAAGAGCAGCAAGGAATAAATCAAAAGTAAATTCAAGAACAACAAAAGATCTTACTGAAAATTGCTTGGTGTCCCGATATCTGCCTTGGTTAATCTCTTTTTTTTTGCTTTTCCTTTTTTCTTTTCTTTGGTATGAGAGATGTTGTTAACTTGTGGACCATAAAATCTATTTGTTGTGATTTCTGGGTTTTTTATGTCAACTGTAGCCATGGGTAGATTAGGACCTACAAATAAAGTCAAAAAAAAATATGAAAAGGATATCACTTAAAGATAACAACTATATATAATCATAATTTATAATTTAAGCATTTTTTCTGAAGTAGGACCACTCCATTATTATAAATTAATTTTTAATTTAAACCTACAATTTGTTTATAAGAAAGTACTGCCTAAACTTTAAAACCTCGAATAAATTCTTAAACACACTGCCATAGTTGCATTATTTCTTTTTTTTTTTTTTTTTCTTTGCTCAGGTCTTTATTCAAAATAAACTGTCCAATATGATTTGACGTTTATGGAATAAACATTAAAAGTTTATGCAGTAGGCTTCTTTTCTTCTGTGGTAGGTTTCTTTTCTGCTGGCTTCTTTTCAGCTGCTGGTTTCTTGGTAGAGGCAGCCTTTTTTCCTACCAGAGGCTTTTTCTGCTTTTTAACACCAACAGGCTTTTTCCCCTTCTTCATTGCTACAGGCTTCTTGCCTGCAACCCCCTTCTCATCTGACTTGGCCTGTAGTCTTGCAGCTGCCTTATCCACCCGAAGTTTGTGATTCCTGGCCTGGCGAAGAATGGTATTCCGGCGCATGGTCTTTGCATATGGGTTTAGCTTCAACATGATTCTCAGGTTTTTCAGTGGATTCTTCTTCAGGACTCTGCGATGAATCTTTTTGCGTGGTGCACGAAGAGCTCTTTGGATCTCTGGGCTTTTCAAGATTCGGCTAAGGTCTGTGTTCATCATCTTGTGCATGGGAAGGTTGTAGTTACTCTTAAGGGAAGCAGCTTTACGCCAAGTGCCATACAGTTCATCTAACTTCCGGAAAGCACTTTCAGTCCAAATGCAGAAACGTCCCACATGTCCACCAGGAGCAAGTTTCAAAATGTTCAGCTTGCTTACATTAAGCAGAGTAATTCC